GTTGCGCTAATGACACATATTTTCGAATCTTGGGAGAGGTCACAGGATGCACTCGGAGTTTTTTGTGACCTATCAAAGGCATTTGATTGTGTGGATCATAAAACGCTTTTGTACAAGCTCGAACATTATGGTATAAGAGATAATGATCTAAAATTAATGAGAACTTATTTAGAGGATAGGGTTCAAACTGTAGATATTGACGGTGTAAAATCTAAGGGAGCTAATATTAAGATGGGCGTTCCACAAGGGTCAATCTTAGGCCCCTTTCTCTTTTTAATCTACATAAATGACCTTCCCTTTATGGTAGAGAAAATTGCAGATATAGTGCTGTTTGCGGATGATACTTCGTTAGTGTTTAAAATTGGACGTCAAAGTAATCAATTAGACGATGTAAATTGTGCTATGTCTGCAATATTAAATTGGTTTACATGTAATAACCTATTATTAAATTCCAGCAAAACAAAGTGTATAAAATTTACACTTCCTAATGTAAGACTAATAAATACACAGTTATTGCTTAATGACGAAATAGTAAATTTTGTTAATGATACAGTTTTTTTAGGTATAACAGTGGACTCGAAATTACAATGGGGGCCCCATATTTCAAAATTGGCCAGTAGACTCAGTTCTGCTGCATATGCAATTAGAAGAATTAGGCAATTAACAGACGTGGCGACGGCTAAACTTGTATATTTTAGTTATTTCCATAGCATAATGTCTTATGGCATACTGCTGTGGGGTAAAGCAGCCGATATAAATACTATATTTGTTTTACAAAAGAGAGCCATACGTTCTATTTATGGTATGGGTTCAAGAGAGTCATTACGTCAGTGCTTTAAAGACTCAAATATCCTCACAGTTACTTCACAATACATTTATGAAAATATTATGTATACACGGAAGAACTTAGCGAGTTTTAAAAAACTCAAAGACTGTACAAGTAGAAACTTACGCAATATAAATAAGCTTATTTTACCTAAATGCCGTCTGCACAAAATCAGTAATTCATTCTATGGTAATTGCATAAGATTTTATAATAAACTGCCGGAATCTGCATTAAATCTGACAGAGAGGCAATTCAAATCTTATATTAAACAATTTTTATGTAAGAAAGCCTATTACAGGATAGACGAATTCATAGATGACAACATATCAAGTAAATAATTAGTTTATTAGCATACAACGTTATAATTTTATTTTCTCATTGCTTTCTTGATTTAATTGATTAATTTTAGAAATATGAAAGCGTAGCGGTTTTTTGTATTAATTGCCGCATGCATTCTTATGTAAAATGTGAATACTATAACTATCAGATGGCAATTGTGAGTAGCTTTGACGTGGTCTAGTGTTTTGAGTAGTCATGCTCACTAAAATGTCCAGACTTGTGGCGGCGTGGTGGGCCGGGTCATTGGGCTCCCTAAAATATGGTCGAGCGCAGTGATGGCTGGCTCATCCGTCATACTCGTGAACGGGTGCTGCTTGTAGGGACTGGTCTGCTCTAATCACTATGACTGATTTCCTATTATGACTGATTATTAATTGTTTAACCAGTTGGTTATGTATTCAATTTTTTTTTTTTTCTTTTTGAGTATTTAATTGAATTAGTGCTAATTGGTGGTTTGTATTCACACAATTAAACTTAAAAATGTAAAATAATAATAAAATTATTTAAAAGAGCATCACGCAAGTTTCTTGCTCGTTCTTCTTGTGATGAGACAGCTTTCCGAACGAGCGGTAAATTAAAAAAAATGTAATGACTTTTCAAAAGTGCTTCAATGTAAGTTTATTTGAATAAATGATTTCTATTCTATTCTATTCTATTCTAAATAAAATCTGTATCATAAAAAGCACCATTACAATCTGACCCCAAACTTGTGCAGAGATCACGTATGCCCCAGAATACCGAACTTCCGAATTCACCTCAAACCACGGCGTCGCGTGACCGGACTGTATTACGTCACGCCAGATTTGCCCAAACTGACATTTATTATACTTAGATTTCACTACTTTGTTATGGAAATGTTGCTACGAAGTCCAAAGTTTTCGCTTCATTTATAAAATGAGCTATGAAGGTTTTTTGTTCAGTTCAGAATTCGAAAGAAATTGATAGTTCAAAGTTTGGAAAGTGACAACTGTGGTTTATAGACATGAATTGCACCGTGAATAGAATTGACTCTGATCTCCATGGTTTGATAATAATCCATAGTTTTTTTTTGGATATAATAGAGTGTGCTGTATCGCCCACGATACTCCCTATGCGTTGCCATTCCTGAGGACTCAGGTGTTATTCCTCTGTACCCTGTAAATTCACTGCCATACCCCACCCTTAAATCCGAAACACAGACATGCAAACACAACTGATCTACTGTTAAGAGATGAATAGGACGGAGTTGACCAAACAAACGACTTTTGTACAAAGTCTGCCTCTGGTAAAGCTCCATAGTAGTGGCGCCTTACTGTCCGGCTCGATCCACTGAGACTGCGTAGAGATGTTGCATCTCTGTGCATCTTCTATCGAATTTATCATGGGGAGTGCTCTGAGGAATTGTTCGGATTGATACCTGCTGCTGATTTTCATCTTCGTACTATCCGCCATAAACTAAAATTTCATCCTAACCATCTGGACGAGTGGCGGTCCTCCACCGTGCGTTTTTCAAGGCACTTTCTTCCACGCACAACCACTCTTTGGAATTAACTTCCAGCAGCAGTATTTTCAAACCGATACGACAACGTAACCTTCAAGAAAAGAGCATATTCCTTTTTAAAAGGCCGGCAGCGCACCTGCAATGCCTTTGGTGTTGTGGGTGATCATGGGCGGCGGTAGTCACTTACCATCAGGTGAGCCGCATGCTCGTTTGCCACCTGTGTTGTAAAAAAAAGTATAGCAGTAATAGATAGTAGATCGAATTGTTTGATTGGCTCCGCTCCTGCCCTTTTAGACAAGGTGCAGACTAATCTATCGTCAGGATTGTTATCGTCAACGAATCTATAAGATAGAACGGCCTGGTGTGTTAGTAATGCGGACTACCAGTCCTATTGCTAGCAATATATCCTGTCAGGTCGACCTGCATGTGATCCATGTGAGCTAACAAACGTAAAAAATATACAACCGAACTTAGAAGCTTCTTCTTTTGGAAGTCGGTTTTATATTTCGCTTTTCAAAGCACAGGTCAATACATTTTCGGAGAGTTGTAATTCCATCAAGCTGCGAGACTACAGCGTCTTACCGCGTTCAACGAACAGTGACAATTGAGTTGGCGGGAGGCTCGCGTGACCTGACCTCGTTTCCGTCGGTTTCCGTAACGCCAGATTTGCTCTCACCACTGACAGTTATCCCTGCTTAACTTTTACAGATTTTGTTGGGGTTTGTACCCTGTCAGAAGGGATGTTAGCGATAAACTTGCTTTCCCTGAGTGATGGGAGTTTTTTTTTTGTATGTTTCTAGTTTTTCTCAATCAAGGGGAGCTTGGATTTCGAATTTATATACGTTGAAATCCTTTTGGGAGTATTCTTTCAGTGAAACTGTATATTCTTTTAAGAAATATCGAAAACGATAAAAATTTTCTGTTTAACCATATTGTTTCTTTGGAAAAACATTTTTAATTTCATTCCCTTCAAAGGAGGCTAATGATTTCGGTTACATATTACATAGGTTATCTATGTACGAGGTCTGTCCGGAAAGTTCGTATAAAAGTGTTCTGGAATGCGAGAAAGAGGAGTGGGGAGGCCAGGTAAGCGCAGGACCCCTTCCTTATGTCCCTAACAATGCTTCAGTTCTGGTCTGACCGCCGTGCGGCGCGAACTGGCTTGTCACGCCATCTGTGAAGTTACCTCTTAACGAAACCCCGTCGGCATGGAGCCCGCTTCCGTTGAAGAGCAGCGCGTCGTAATCAAGTTTCTCTCGAAACTCGGCAAGAATGGCCGTGAAATTTTTGCCGATCTCAGAACAGTTTATGGGGATGATGCTGTGAAGGAACCAACCGTCCACAAGTGGCTAAAAAGATTCAGAGAGGGCCGAGAAAGCGTTCAAGATGACCCACGTTCAGGACGTCCTTCCACTTCACATTCCGACGAAAACGTGGAAAGAATTCGAACTTGTGTTAATGGCGACCGTCGTTTAACGGTCAGACAGGTGGCTGAAGAGCTTAATTTGGGCAAAACCGTGGTCCACGAAATTCTAAGAAACGAACTTCAAATGAAAAAAATTTGCGCCAAGATCGTTCCGTGAGTTTTGAGTAAAAATTCCATTACGGTGACCGAACACCCCCTATTCGCCGGATTTGGCCCCGTGTGACTTCTTCTTGTTCCCAAAAACCAAATTGGTACTTCGGGGGCGGCATTTGGGGGACATAAATGAGATAAAAAAAGCTACGACGGGGCAGCTGAGAAACCTACAACCAGAGGACTTTCAAGGAGCCTTCTCACAGTGGAAACGGCGTTGGCACAAGTGCATTATGTCACAGGGGGAGTACTTTGAAGGGGATAAAATTGATTTACCTGAATAATTGTAAAATAAAATTTTTAAAAAACTTTTATACGTACTTTCCGGACAAACCTCGTATATACAGTATTATATATTTTTGGGGTGCTTTGTGTCGTTCTGCAGTGAAATACAAAAGTGTTGTAAAATCCAGTTGAATGGAAGCATTTAGTTACGTTGTTTTTGGCTATTCCAAGATGCACGACGAATGAGACTATCTCTACATTTTTTTTATATACAACTTACAATGGTAAACAAGCTGACGGCCCACCTGATGGAAAATGGTAACCGTCGCGTATAGACATGAGCAGCACCATTGACATAACAGAGTATACTGTTTCGCCCATGAAACCCCCCATGCGTTGCCATTCCTGAGGACTCAGGTGTTATTCCTCTGTACCCTGTAAATTCACGCCATACCCCACCCTTCAAACCGAAACACAACCATGCAAACACAACTGCTTCATGCTCAATAAATTTATAATTATGTACCTATACCTCTTGCTCATTTGCCCATTAGGAAGCGTTCGGCGAGGGCGGATGGCCGCTGGAGTTTAGAGCGGCAGTGGCGAGACTCCTCTCACAGCACGCGCCCAACGACAAGGAAGCCCCCAGAACTGCCGCACTGCGTAAGTGTTGTTATTTACTTATTCATTAGAACATATATATGGGCGAGACGGACTTAAAGCTAAAAGATTATTATTTATTGATTTATTTATTAGTACATATATATTTACAAAGCAGAAAAAAAACATTACAATACTAACTTTTAAAATTTATAGAGGTATATAATTACAGTAATATGATAATGAAAGTATATAAAATACAGAAAATGGGATAAAAATAGGGGGAAAAGCAGGAAAAGAAGAAATGACCTAGTATTTTTCGTCGTTCCTTTTATGGCATATGACAGAATGTGGTAAAAAATTATACAAGTTTGTGATTGATTGAAAGTCCTAAGACTTGTATCGATATGGCGAAAAAATATTTGACATTTGGGTAAAAATAAAAATTCACATTTGCTTAGTTGGAAAAATGTGGAAGCGTGAAGGCTAGCACATGACTATTGTAAATGGCGCAACAAAGAACAGCTTACTCAGCAGTGGGTCAATGTGGACTGACTAGATAGTATATATAAAGTTAACCCTGGTATATTTCATCCCCGTGTCATGTTCAGGTCTCTGCAACCAACGACTCGACCAGACTCTGTCCGAGACGATGGTGTTGGACCTGATCGTGCTGGTCGGCTTCGTGGTGGTCAACAATCCGCAGCTGCAGGTGAGTATCGCTTCACGACAGGACATGATGTGGTGGTGGACCCACGGCTTTAGGTTGAGAGGGTGGAGGATTAATTATTATTATTGAGAGACGGGGTTTATCAGGCAGAAAAACCTGTACCACTGCAATCTTTCCATGATGTTTTGTGTTCACCCTTTTTTAAGTTCACTGCTAATTCCTATTAATGATAGGAATTTAAAGATGTTTTTTTTGTGGCTGTTTTTTATCACCTCAGGATATAGGGTGTGTTTTCCGAAGGATATATCGTTTATGTATGAGTATGTATGAGAGTGGCTACAGCCACAAATTAGGGTGGAGGGTTACTACTCACATGAATTGATACAAAAATGATATGTTAATTAAATACATCCAACGATTTTTACAAATTTTCACATCTTACTCTCTCTTTTCATGAGAACTGCGCGGAGGTCTACCTACATACATTATAGCAATGGGGACCACCCATTACTAACAATCCCTTCCCCCAACCCACAAACATGTTTTTTTAATGGGTGAAAATGGAATAGTAACCCCACCCGCGCTATCGGTATATACCGGCGGGGCACCAGTGGAAGATGATAGGTGAGAATGAATGCAGGTCAGTTGACCCACCATGATGAATTCGACAAGAATTAACCTCGATGATTTCCAGGGGGAAACCGCGTGGAGGTCGACTTGAGAGTATATTACTAGCAATGGGGCTATTAGACTTCATTACTGGCAATCCCTTTCCTCCCCACAAACAGATGTTTGATATAAATAAAATTTGCTTGACGGCTAGAATCTATTTTAGCATAGCACATAGTTCTATTTTATATACTAATTTATGCGGGCAAAGCCATAGGAAACAGCTAGTTTTTAATATTAGTAGGAGTCACGCGAAGTCACAAGCTATAGGTATATAGTATAAAATAAAAACATGCATAACTAGAAACGACGTAAATTTATAAGAAATAACAAAAAAACAGGTCGTTAAAGGACAAACACCTGTACAGCGCACGTGTTGCGGACGACTGGCCCGCATGTGAACACACGGACGGAGAAAAACTGTATTTGTATAATTAGCGGCAGTTTAACCGATCATTGGTTATGAGTTTATTATATGAGGGCTATTTTGGACGTCACAGTGTATTGTATGGTGTCTATGACGTTGTTTATGTGTGCAAACAATGGTAACTGCTTTCCATTAGGTGGGCTGTAAGCTTGTCTGCTATTCCTATTTGAACCGATTTCAATTGTGTTAGAACCAGTTATTTTGTGTTAAAAATTAAACTGCTGAACTGATTGTGATAAAATTTCAATGGGACTCATCTGAATGTATATCTTTTAAGTTAAAAGGAAAAAATTCGAAATCGGTTTATATATGACGGAGTTATGAGGTAACAAACATAAAAAACTCAACAGAATTGAGTATCTCCCCCTTTTATGAAGTCGTTGTAAAAACCAAAAATCGATTCGATATCAGTGAAGATATTGCATAATATATACGAGTACATATGTATATTAAACGCATAGTCAATTATTTTTTTTATGCAACTTAGAATGGCAAACAAGCTGAAGGCCCACCTGATGGAAAGTGGTAACCGTCGCCTATAGACACGAGCAGTACTATGGACATAACAGAGTATACTGTTTCGTCCATGATACCCCCCATGCGTTGCCATTAAATTCGTAATTTACAAGAAAATCAAGTTATTATGATAACACAATATAGAAATTTAGGGGGAAAGGGATTGTTAGTCAGTTCGACCTCCTCCTGGAAACTATCATGGTTAATTCCCTGATGAATTCATCATGATGGGCTAACTGGCCTGTTTTCATTCTCATCTATCACCCTTCACTGGTGCCCCGCCAGCGTATCCTGATAGCGCAGGCGGGGTTACCATACCATTTTCATCCATCAAAAAAAATATATATAGAAATTTAAAATCCCATACCACATTATAGGCAAATACCTAAAATAAAAAATAAAAATTCATACGTTCAGACAAATTGAAAACATCCTTTTTGTAATCGGTTAAAACATTGGTCAAAAAAGAAAAGCGACCACATTAAACGGACGTAATTTATTACCGGACTTGAACAGAATAGACAATAACAATACACAAGGAGGGAGCAGAGGTTCTCACGTGCACAGGTGCGGCAGCCGCTCAAGGAAGTGTTCTGGGCCCATTACAGGGGAACGTTGCGCACTCACATCCCTTGTCCTTTATTTACTATACACTTGTCCTATACATAATTTATTAATGTCTCGTCAGTGAATTGACTGCATATGGGCTAATCTTTTTTTTTTATACAATTTAGAATGGCAAACAAGTTGACGGCCTGTCTGATGGATAGTGGTAACCATCGCCTATAGACATGAGCAGTACCGTGGACATAACAGAGTATACTGTTTCGCCCATGATACCCCCCATGCGTTGCCATTCCATTGTATACTAAATAACTTCTTTTTTTTTTAGAATTTACCCGGGAACATTAAATTATTATGCGGACATTTATTTATTATTTGATTTGACTTGATTTGAGAAAAAAAAAACATTTTAAAATTGTTAAATGTTATTGCTATATATATATATATATATATATACATACATATATATAATTCATTTGCTCTCGTATTTGATTTGTTAATTGTGGAAACTTCACTATATTATAGCTGTGTTTATTATTTACTGGTATATGTTTTAGGTATTGTATGTATCCCTAGTAAAATAAAAAAAAACAATATATTTTTATTATAAAAAAGGGTTTTATTTACGTCTTTTAGGTAATACAATATAAAAAAAATTCGAACTTGAACTTAAAATTTGAATTGGGATCTATAAATTTTGTTACCAGGAGACGATCTGCGACGGATGGAGTGTGATCAAGACCTTATGCACCTTGCCCGCCAACTGGCTCGTCTCCAAGGTGCACAGCCACGCTCTCTTGCCAACCCTCATCGCTGTCTCCGAGAGACCATCAGCCGCGAGTGCTATAGCCTCAGAGTTGAGTATGAAGGTGAGTTCAGACACAAAATATTCATTTAAAAACACTTTTACAAATAAGTTTGCTTAATAAAAAAACGGAATTAGAAGTTTAAAAACGCCATCAGTGCCCATTATGCTAAGTCATAAGTCAGGCTAATTTGACAATCAGCTGCCAAAAAGTTGATCCGTTTTTGAAGCTAGATAAATAGTAAATCTTTATTTACTACTCAAAAGGAATATTTTACTGTACCATTGGATTTTAACTTAAGATTTCAACCGTGAAGCAGTTGTGTTTGCATGGCTGTGTTCTCGGTTTGAAATTTAGATATGGCGTAATATTATATCAATGAATAACATGAGAGATCAAAAGATGGTATCTATGGGGGGTAATCATGGGCGAAACACATAATATTTCTGTTATGATCCATAGTATTGCTCATGTATATAGGCGACGGTTACCATTTTCATGGTGGGCCGTCAGCTTGTTCGCCGTTCTAAGTTGTATAAAATATATATATATATATATATATATATATATATATATATATATATATATATATATATATATATATATATATATATATATATATATATATATTATTATTATTATTATTATTAGTACCAGAAATTCTAATAGTAAAAAGTCATGGTAGTATATCTTCAATGTCCATGGCAGTCGCACGTATACTTTAAGGTGGTCAGCTTGGAATTAAAATAAAAAAAACAATAAAACAAGTGATATAGACTACCGCAAAATCATATTTATCTTATTTTTCGCATATGGGGTCAGCTAAGCCAATGTACGTCGACCTATACGGATCATTTGCGCTTCCCCCTGCCTTATACCATCATTTCATAGATTCTATATGTTACCCTAACGATATCCCGCGGTTTAAGATACCTGTAGTCCCCTGGCTCTGGATAAGCCGTTCCCAGTAGACTCATACACATACTTGCCAACGAATCGCAATTGCACATCAAGTGTTCCATGAATTCCGATTTCTCTCCGCACAGTCTGCACAGTGTGTCCGAAGATAGACTCATCTTGTGTAGAATATGCCTTACTGGCATATGTCCAGTTACGGCACCCATAATGAGTCTTGCCTGTTGTCTGCCACCGATGTAGATGAGTTTAAAATAATATTTAGTTGTGTATGTATTTAAAAATAATAAAATTTCCATCGTGCCTCCGATCAAACTGTTTGTAACTACTCCTTTCCATCCAAAGATGAAGAGAATCGAGAAATCGAGAATCTCCTGGAAGAGATCGCTCTTAGCGATAAGGCCGCCCATTGTTTTCTCATTGTGATCATTTCTTGTAATTGTTTGTATTTATAATAAGTTTACTATTGTAACTTTTTGAGGAAACAATAAAGAGTATCTATCTGGTTTAGTAAAACATTCACACAATATTTATGACGCAGAAGGAAATAGGCTATTTTTGACCCGGTTACAATATGTACTCCGCGTGAACGAAGCTCCCTGGCGGAGACTAGTCACCAGATGAGGCACACAGCTCGAGCGGCACTCGTTTGAGGCGGAAACTTCAAATATAAAAGCAATTTGGCGCTTTTAATATTTAATGTTTGTTAGTGGCGTCGCACGGGCGCAGATGTACGAACACATCCCCGATCTGCTGTAAAGAGAACAGCTGTTTATGGAGATACGGATAAATGGGATGTTGAATTTGTTTAGGGATGAAACGGTATAATAATAATAAACTCTTTATTGCCCACAACAGAAATGTATACAAGGAGTATTTATACAGAATGTGCATATACAAAAGGCGGCCTTTTGCTTTAGTTTTGGTCCCGGCATGGAATAAGCCACCCCTTCCTTTCCCGTGGGTGTCGCAAGAGGCGACATTTTTTTTTATACTACTTAGAATGGTAAACAAGCTGACGGCCCACCTGATGGAAAGTGGTAATCGTTGCCTATAGATATGAGCAGTACCATGGACATAGCAGAGTATACTGTTTCGCCCATGATACCCTCCATGCGTTGTCATTCCTGAGGACTCAGATGTTATTCCTCTGTACCCAGTAAATTCACGGCAAATTCACTAAGGGAGGGCGAGAGACTGGCAGCTGCGTCCTTTTTAAAACACCTCCAAAACCTAACTGCGGTTTCTGACCCTATTACCAAACGTGACAATTAAACCAATTTTTTTTTATGCATGATAATGGAATGGTAACTCCGTCTGCGCTATCGATATACACTGGTGCCCACCAGTGAGGGATGATAGCTTAGGATGGAAAGGCAGGTCAGTTAGCCCATCGTGATGAATATAACTGAAATTCAGTATGATGGCTTTCAGGGGCGACCACGTGGAGATCGACCTGACTTAATATATTCTGTACTGCTGGCAATGGGACTGGTAGCCCGTGTTATTAACAATCCTTTTCTCCCCTTGTAGATTTTTTTTGATGGGTGAAAATGGTATGGTAGCCCTGTCTGCGCTCATGGGATACGCTGGCGGAGCACCAGTGAAGGGTGATAGATGAGAATGAAAACAGGCCAGTTAGCCCATCATGATGAATTCATCAGGAATTAACCATGATAGTTTCCAGGGGAACCGCGAGGAGGTCGACCTGGTTGGGTATATTGCTAGCAATGGGATTCTAACAAACATTACTAACAATCCCTTTCCCCCTTTGTTTTAGATGTTAGAAGATTACTTAGAAAGTCCGGACGCACAGAAAGTGAAGCTGGTGCAAGTGATCAAACAGGGACGAGCCAAGAAGTCGGGGAAGAAGTGAACGCGAGGTAAGGAGGCTCCTGTCGCCCAGCGGGGAGCCTGTTGCCCATCATAGGCCTACCGTAGCAGTACGGATTTCAAATGCTGTGGTTTTTGAAAATAAATATATATATGAACGTAAGATTGTAAGCATTACACCATAGCCTCGGTGGTCTAGCGGCTCAACACGTTGCTTTACCACCCCGTGGTCGCGGGCTCGACTCCCGCACAACAAATATATTTATATTCGTGAGTATGTGTGTTTGTATTGGTCTCGGTGTTATCTATGTGTAATATGAATGTACCTATTTACAAAAATAAAAGAAAATAAAATATTTAAGTATAGGTAAGCTCCGCTTAGTTGGGGCTAGATGGCGCTGTGTCCAGTGGTATATATGTTGCAGTCAAGATTCTTAACCAGTCAAAAGTACTATTGACTAGCAAAATCAGTCAAAAGCACTTTTATCCAATGTAGCTGGTTAAAAGTATTTTTGACTAAGTGATTCCGCCAAAAGTGTTTTTGACTGGTTGTATCAGTCAAAAGTCTTAAAAAGTCTTAATTTAACCTAATTTACTTAAATTAGGTTTTTTTTTTATGGGTGGAAATGGTATGGTAACTCCGCCTGCGTAACGGGATACGCTGGCGGAGCACCAGTGAAGGGTGATAGATGAGAATGAAAACAGGCCAGGTAGCCCATCATGATGAATTCATCAGGAATTAACCATGATAGTTTCCAGGGGCAACCGCGAGGAGGTCGACCTGGTTTTGTATATTGCTAGCAATAGGATTCTCAGTCTCCATTACTAACAATCCCTTTCCCCCCACTTAAATAAGTTTAGGTTAGTATGTTTTCTTTGTATCGATTGTAATGCCAAATTTTTCGTTATAAACAATTTCACATTTAATGAATACCTTTTGTTTTTCATCTAACGAGTTAATGGTGCTTTTGACTAATGCTTTATTGCAGTTATAACTACTTGTGACTAAGAGCGTCAGTTAAAAGTAATTTTAACCGCAAATGTGCAGTCAAAAGTGCTAATAACCAATAGTTTTCAGTTAAAACCACTTTTTACCAACCTGTTCAGTTAAAAGTACTTTTGACAGATTTTTGCTAGTCAATAGTACTTTTGACTGGTTAAAAGTTTTGACTGCAACATGTATAATTGTTATCAATTATTCTCTGCTGAACATGGTTGTTTAAAACGTCTTCATTCTATTCAGCAGGGCATATATTGAGTATTATCGATGGGTAATAGGTATACACCAATATTAATATATTTGTTATTATCTATATATCGTGTTTCAACCGTGAAGCAGCTGTGTTTGCATGGCTGTGTTTCGGTTTGAAGGGTGGGCATATGGCAGTGAATTTACACGGTACTGAGGAATAACACCTGAGTCCTCAGGAATGGCAACGCATGGGAGGTATCATGGGCGAAACAGTATACTCTGTTATGTTCATGGTACTGTTAATGTGTATGGTATAGGTGACGGTTGCAATTTTCCATCAGGTGGGCCGTCAGCTTGTTTGCCATTCTAAGTTGTATAAAAAAAAAAGTACTGGTCCAAAAACGAATGTATTAAACATCAGTTACCCAGTATTTAATGCCGAAATGAAGTACCCAATCGAATTTTTTTTATAGATATACGACCGGTATGAGCGATATCAGAATGGGTAATGACCTTTTCCCCGCCATCAATGTCCAACAAAACCCAATATATAAATATTGGAGTATCAATATCACTCACGCGTATTGAGTATGCAATTACATATACATATATACTAATATTATAAATGTGGAAGTTTGTTGTAAAGATGTTTGCATGTTTAGATGTTTGTATGTTTATATGTATGTTACTCAACCACACTTTAACGTCTGAATGGATTTGAATGGAACTTGACCTGTTGACGGGTCATTGAACCAATTTCATCCTAACATGTAGGTTAACTACTTTAAATACTGTTTAACGCGAGCAAAGCCGCAGAGAACTGATATGTCAATGAACACAAATCAATAAATATATTACAACTATATGGTACAGTGGTAATTCGATATACGAATGGTTTTTTTTTTTGATGGATGATGATGGAATGGTGACCCCACCCGCGCTACCGGTATACACCGGCGGGGCACCAGTGAAGGATGATAGGCGAGAATGAAGTAGGTCAGTTAGCCCGTCGTGACGAATTCACAAAGAATTGTTCACGATGGTTTCCAGGGGGAACCACGTGGAGGGCGACCTAATAAGGCATATTGCTAGCAATGGGGCTGTCAAACTCCATTACTAACAATCCCTTTCCCCCCGATATACGAGTGTTTTGAGACACGAGCCGCCGAGCGAGCGATATTTTGCTTCGAGATGAGAGCAAGGTTTGAGATGCGAGGACTCGCACGCTACACACGAGCCCAACATGCGGGCTGGATGTTGGCGTCTAACAGTCTCTCCCACCTCAGGCTAACACTTAACAAAAACAACTGAGGTGGGTTTTTTGGGAGTACGGATTAATGGCATTTCAATGGTTACGAAATGAATTAAACACGTATGTCGAGGTACCACTGTAGTTCTCTTTGGAGACTTGATTCAAATTTTCTGTCTTATGCCAGTTTGTAAAATTTTTTAATATAAAGTAGATTGTACCACTCAGTCGAGTCGATTCTGGGGGCTATTTCACTAAACCTATCTCTTAACCTAATCATCATCATCTCAGCCATTATCCGTCCACTGCTGGACATAGGCCTCCCCCATAGACTGGCATAAAGAACGGTCCTGAGCCATCTGTATCCATTGATCTGGTGCTTTGACTGCTATGCGTTTGAGATCGTCAATCTCTCTAGCGGGGTGTGGTCCTACACTGCGTTTGCGTGTACGGGGTTGCCACTCAAGAATCATTCTTCCCCATTGGTTGTAGGTTTTTTGAGCTGTGACCAGTATATTGCCACTTCAGATTGCTTAATATAATAATTTATATATATATAAAACAATAACAACGCATGGTGGGTATCACGGGCGACACAGTATACTCTGTTATGTCCATGGTATTGCTCATGTCTATATATAGGCGACGGTTACCACTTTCCATCAGGTGGGCCGTCAGTGTTTACCATTCTAAGTTGCATAAAAAAGAATGGAAATTTATTTTTAAACATTATTTTTAGAGATAGGATTAGAGAAACTACACCCCAGAAAGCGTCTCAACGGCTGCAACCATATTATGGTTAAATTTTGAAATAAACCGAGTCATAATTCCGAGTTTACATATCACGAGAATATTTTTTTTAAATCTATTTTTTTATACATACACATTTTTCCTATTGTAGACTCAAAAATGGTTTATTTATTAATTTCAACACTCATTCGACTTATTATTGTTGCAAACTGAACATTGTGTATGTGAACTAAGTGAATGTCTTTCAAAAACCACAGTTGTTTATTACGAATTTATTAGAATGTGAATGAGCATATATACAAATCACTCACAGAATGTATGTATGTGGTGCCGAACAGATGTAATGTCGTTTGCACATTAAATGGTATGTTGGACGTTGTTTACATTGCATTCCTGTCAATAAATAAAGTGACTTTATCACATTTGAAATGTTTGAAATTCCTTCAGTGTCGAACATCAAAGACTTGTTATTTCATTATATACATTCGTGCCCTTCTAATTTTTTTTATTTTATTTTATTTATACATATATTATACTATCCAGAATTGTACTCTTCGGAGTAGATAGACTTATAAATCAACTTCCATTTATTTTAACACTTTTTTTTCATAATTTTCATCACTAATGGTTTTTTTGATGGATGATAATGGAATGGTAACTCCATCTGATCTATCGGTATACACTGGCGGCGCACCAGTGAGGAATGATTGGTGAGGATGAAAAGGCAGGTCAGTTAGTCCATCGTGACGAATTCAATGATAAATTAGTCACGATGATTTCCAAGGGGAACCGCGTGGAGATCAACCTGATAAGGTATTTATCTTGTGTTTTGTAACAGACAGGATTTGACAATTGGTCATTTAGGTAAACTAATGATTTACCTGAATTTTCTCGAAGTTTCGATCAGGTTACGTTTGTAGATTAACCTAAATGATTGTATTAATTCTCGTCTCTTATAAAACATGAAATATGGAGCGTGGAAGTCTCAAAGTACATCTCTTATCTATTATTTACCAGAGGGAAGCTTTGTACAAAAGTTGATTGCTTGGGTACCTCTGTCCTATTCGTGTTTCTACCGTGAAGCAGTTGTGTTTGTATATCTATGTTTCGGTTTGAAGGGTGGGATATGGCAGTGAATTTACAGGGTACAGAGGAATAATATTTTAGTCCTCAGAAATGGCAACGCATGGGGGGTATCATGGGCGAAACAGTGTACTCTGTTATGTCCATGGTACTTCTCATGTCTATAGGCGACGGTTACCACTCTCCATCAGGTGGGCCGTCAGCTTGTTTGCCATTCTAAGTTGTATAAAAAAAATTCATCTCTTCTCAAGTGTACAATTCTGGATTCAGGCCAATTCTATTTTTAGTGAATACATTTATAATAACTTCATGAAGTTACTGTCAGTATAATGGGATTGTTTTTCATTACATTATTGGTATTGTGAAATTATATTTTGTTTATTGACAGGAGAGAGGTTTTTTGAGCCACATAATGGCTTTAATCTAATCTCACAATCCCATACGACACATACGTTCGATATCATAACTGATAGCCATTGGTGAAATGTACACTTTGATGTCACTATATCTATTTTTCTATGGCGGTAGTGTAGTTTAGAATTGTATAAAGACGTGGTATTTTTTTCTATTCTTACTAATTGTGAAGAAACACTCGAATTATATTATATATTAATGAATCGTCCTAATTTTTTAATCACTTTAGTTGTCAAATTGTTAGTAAACGCTTCGTGTTTAATAATTATTTTTGTATTTATTTTTAATGGAAACGCAGCGATGTAAAAAATGAAATTTAACATTGTAACTGCTCGGAGAGGTTAATGGATAAATTAAAATTAATTAGACGTCGCTGTCTTCAAAAATCTACTAATGTATAGAACATATGAAAACAATTCCAGTGGATTTTTTTTAATGAGTATTAATGGTATGGTAACCCCACCCGCGCTATCGGTATACACCGGCGGGGCACCAGTGAGGGATGTTAGGTGAGGATGAAGGCAGGTCAGTTAGCCCATCGTGACGAATTCAACATGAATTGTTCACGGTGGTTTCCAGGGGGAACCACGTGGAGGTCGACCTAATAAAGGGCATATTGCTAGCAGTGCGGCTGTGAAACTCCATTGCTAACAATCCCTTTCCCCCCCACAATTCCAGTGGTGTAAGAATGTACGTAAATAAGGTAATACAGGTGTGCTAATACCATAGTGTGCCTACAGGGACACTGCGTATTGTGGATTGGGAACATTGAAATAAACTTTAAGTAACTTAAAAATCTTAAGATTGCTGTGATAAAACGGGAGGTAGGGGATATATATGCGTACAGATGTTTTACATTGTGTTGATATCTAGACAGGGTAACTTGACGACGTTAAACTCGATGGCTTCAGTCGGTTCCAGCTAATTGTACTTTTTTTTGTAAGCACGCATTATATTTTAATATAATAAATACCGGTTTAACTTGCGTGTAATTAGAACGAAAGAGCTCGACTAGTTTCGGAATCGATTCGGGATCCTTAGTCATGAGTGACTGTGACCCGAGCACGAGTCTGACTGCGTGCTTTTAGCCCACTGATTTCGAGTTGTAGGCACTTGATGAATAATCATTCAGTTACTAATAATTATAAGTTTGTGATCCTCATGATTAAGGATCACGAATTGATATCGAAACTAGTAGAGCTGTCTCGATCTAACTACACGCAAGTGAAACCGGCAGTTTATTGCATTAAAATTGTACTTTTACTGGTACCGTACGAACCGGAGCGGTAACGTCGTCGTACAATTGAAATGTATTTAAAAAATACAATCCCGGGATACTGAATGGCAAATGCAACTGGCAGTATATGCAGCAGCAGTAATTATGTATGAATTTATTATATAAAAAATGTTTGAATGACCACAGATGCAAAAAATAAAATTGTAACTGTTTTCGAATGTAATTGTAATGTTTCGACGTCAATATAATGACCTGGTGGTCTACCATGAAATGAAATTCCGAAATTTCGGACTCAATTTCGTGTTTTTGTTCGTACCAAAATCGACACTATAAAAGGAGGTTAAGATTTCATTTGTCATAAATCCTACCATATAAGTCCAAAGGAACGATACTTTAGTATTTTATATATTTTTAAACGGTACGTATCATGTAATTTTAACATCAAATTTGTGTTTCGTTCAGATCCGAAATTTCGGAAAACATTTCATGGTAGGCCCTCTGTTCTTAAATTGTAGCATGCCCGACAGGGTATAACTGTTGATACTGATGTCAAATCCAAAGCAATGGTTACTGCTGTATGTACGTACACAGTTAGCAATAAAATTCTATTCTATTCTATTCTATCAACCTACAGAAGGTTTTTTTTTTTTAATGGATGATAATGGAGTAGCAACCCCGCCTGCGCTATCGGTATACATCAGCGGGGCACCAGTGAGGGATGATTTGTGAAGGTGAAAAGGCAGGTCAGTTAGCCCATTGTGACGAATTTAATAATAAATTAGTCACGATGGTTTCCAGGGGGAACCGCATGGAGGTTGACCTGATAAAGGTATATTGATAGCAAATAACCTCCCCATTACTAACAGTCCTTTTACTCCTCAAAAGATGGTTAGGAAGATATATAATATAGAAGTTTTTGGTAGAAGTTTAAATTACAATTGACTAAGGATGACATAATTTTATTTTGTTGCGTCTGTGTTAATTAAAAAAATATTTTTAATTGTTTGTTTTAATTTATATATATATACTAGCTGACTCGGTAAACGTTGTTTTACCATATACATTATTTCTAGAACTATACATGCAAATATATCGTACTACAATTATGATCGTAAAAGCGTAAAAATTTGAATTTGTATGTATTTTTCAATGCTAAATTATAATAAAATAAATATAAAAAATTTTGTCAAAAAAAAAATTTGAGGTGGGTCACCCCTATCATTGAGGGGTATGAAAAATAGATGTTGGCCGATTCTCAGATCTACCTAATATGCACACAAAATTTCATAAAAATCGGTAAAGCCGTTTCAGAGGAGTTTGGTAACAAACACCGTGACACGAGCATTTTATATATTAGATAGCTGTATATGTGATGTTACATTGCCTTTGTCATTCGGGATCCCAGGATTGTAGTCTTCAAATGTAACTTATAAAGCATTCGAAACTCTATTAAATCTGAAGTAACCGCAGCCATTGTGTAAACGGGCCACCTTCCATGTGTATTTTGTTTTGTGATAACTCGTCGTCTACTGCTGAACTGTGATTATTTTTAATTAATTATACTATCATTTATAATGTATTATTATAATGTATTATTGGATTGTTTTCGTTGCGTAATGATATTGTCGACTTTATGTATATCCATCTGTGATTCGTTTTTGTTTAGCATTAATGAAGTGTCACGTGTAACTTTGTGTATTTTTGTGTAAGTGGCGAATAATATTTGTGTAACAATATATGGGTCGTTTTATTTTACTTCGACTTGTGTTATGTGTTTACGATTGGAAATGGTTTAGATAAAGAGACATGTATTTAACCTATCTTTGCATAATGATGGAAATTTCCATCATAACATTGAATGCCCAAAAATTATATAAAATGAAAAATAAGATGTTCACTTTAAGTTGATCGTGTCTGGATACCTTTTTAATAATGTCCATTGCAGAAAAAAGAAACATAGCTGTCAAATTTATTTTTTTAATTATTTTTTCTTTAATTGTGAACATGAATTATATTACCTTGATTAATTTCACCAATAATAAAAAAATGCAAAGAAAGGTTAAAAAATTAATTTATTGACAACAAATCTACATGATAAGAATACTTTGTACAAAAGTCGATTGCTTGGGTACCTCTGTCCCATTCGTGTTTCTACTGTGAAGCAGTTGTGTTTGCATGGCTGTGTTTCAGTTTGAAGGGTGGGATATGGCGTGAATTTACAGAGTACAGAGGAATAACACCTGAGTCCTCAGGAATGGCATGACGCATGGGAGGTATCATGGGCGAAACAGTATACTCTGTTATGTCCATGGTATTATACTACTCATGTCTATAGGCGACGGTTACCACTTTCCATTAGGTTGGCCTTCAACTTGTTTGCCATTCTAAGTTGCATAAAAAAGAAGTTAGGTCGGTGTATGCAGGGTACCAGTGAGGGGTGATTCACTGCTGCCCTGCCAGGATATACCGACAGCGCAGGCGGGGTTACTATTCTTTTAACATTAATTGAGAATCGAGTAGTGAAATACGTCATGGTCAAAGGGTCATGACGATTATTATTACCAGAAAGTGCTGTAGAAGCAGTGGCATAGCTTTTTTTTTTATTTTTTAATGAACAATAATGGAATGGCAAACTCGCCTGTGGTATACGCTGGCGCAGCACCTGTAAGAGATGATACGTGAGAATGAAAAGGCAGGTCAGTTGTGATGACCTATCGTGATGAGTACACCTGGGATTCAGCACGATGGTTTCCAAGGAGGACCACGTGGAGGTCGACCCGACAGGATATTTTTTTTATGAGTAAAAATGGAATGGTAACCCCGCCCGCGCTATCGGTATACACCGACGTGACACCAGTGGAAGATGATAGGTGAGAATGAATGCAGGTCAGTTGGCCCACAATGATGAATTCGACAAGAATTAACCATGATGGTTTCCAGGGGAACCGCGTGGAGGTCGACCTGAGAGGGTATATTGCTAGCAATGGGGCCGTCAAACTCCATTGCTAACAATCCCTTTCCCCCATATAGGATATATTGCTAGCAATGGGACTGGTAGTCCGCATTAGTAACAATCCCTCTCCCCACAGAGGCGTAGCTAGGTAACCAAAAGCCCTGGGGCAAAAACTAAACCAGTCTAAGAATACAGAGGAGTTCCCCACAAGTTTCAAACATTTTAGTTCTTATGTTCTAAACATCTTTATGTTCGAGACTTGTTAGGATTTTCCCCGTATTTTTTCAAATAGGTTGCCATTATTAAAGTCTTGTTCTTGGAATCTGGTTTATTTATATTCCGAATGTGGGAGAAATTTTCACTAGTTCAACTTACAGTTTGTAAGTCAAAGTCCGAGGGGCCCCTGAGCTTGAGGGCACAGGGGCACTGCCCCGTCTAGCCCTCCAGTAACTACGCCACTGCTGGATCTAAATATGAAGACTGTATGAAAGTAGAAACATAAAAGCATCTAAAACAAGAAGTGCACGATAAAAATGCCAGCAATAAAAACAACGTTGCATTTTACAACACAAGTCAGTTCAGAATATTCTTGCACCATTCATAAAATGTATTTTTGTTCTATGCATCGGACGCTCAATGGAGGGAGACAGAGTGCATCTCAATGGAACACTTGGTGATACTTTGATCAGACAAATTTACACCACGCCCTTAAGTGCTCCACAAATTATGGTGCGTGGTGAGTGGTGAAGGGTGAAATGTGTATATTTATAGGTATTTTTGTTTAGTAAAATAATGGAGAGACTGAAGCCAGAGTTAGAAAAGAGTAGTTTGAATAAATTAATACATGGAGGCTATTTTTTTTTGTTATGGACGAAAATGGCATGGTAAGCTCGCCTGCGCTAACGGTATACGCTGACGAAGCACCAGTGAGGGACGATAGGTGAGGATGAAAAGGCATGTCAGTTAGCCCATCGTGATGAATAGACCTGGAATTTAGGACGATGGTTTCCAAAGGGAACCATGTGAAGGTCGACACAACAAGGTATATTGCTAGCAATGGGACTGGAATGGATGAGTCGTGGTTAGCCAAGTGGCACAGCCTGTTAAGGTTCGCTTAGCCCAGTTTCACATTCCAGGACCACAGACATCTATGATATTAACCGAATAGGAGCAGAAGGAGACTTTGTACAAAAGTCGATTGCTTGGGTACCTCTGTCCCATTCGTGTTTCAACCGTGAAGCAGTTGTGTTTGCATGACTGTGTTTCGCTTAGAAGGGTGGGATATGGCGTGAATTTACACGTTACAGAGGAATAATGACTGAGTCCTCAGGAATGGCAAGGCATGGGGGGTATCATGGGCGAAACAGTATACTCTGTTATGTCCATGGTACTGCTCATGTCTATAGGCGACGGTTACCACTTTCCATCAGGTGGGCCGTCAGTTTGTTTGCCATTCTAAGTTGCATAGAAAAAAAGAAAACTGATTTAAACAATCGATCTTGTACATGATTTTTCTTTTATAATTTTTCAACAGTCTCTCTACATTAAAGTATTAGGTACACATCATTTCCCAACAATGAATCTCCCATTCATGTTTTATACCCGAATTGTTCGATAATGGCGGATAATCGATCGAGGCGGCAGAATGGAAAATGGCTTCCGATTTCTCTAACGGAGGGCCCCAGACATTTTTGTCAATCATCTAACCGTCTATTATGGTATGCATCATTGGTTTTGATATTATTTGACGAGGAGATGTGATTTATGGCATTGAATAACAGAAGGAATCTGAGGGTCTACCACGAAATGTTTTCCGAAATTTCGGAGCCAAACGAAACAGAAATTTGATGTTAAAATTACATAATACATGCCATTTGGAAATATTAAAAATGTTAAAATATTGTTCCTTTTGACTTTTAGGATAGGATGTATGACAAACGAAATGTTAAACTCCATTTGTTAGTCCGATTTTGGTATAAACAAAAACACGAAATTGAGTCCGAAATTTCGGAATTTCATTTCATGGTAGACCCGCTGATTGCTTCTATTCTTCACAAATTCTTCTTTTAGACTTTCGCGTTGCATGGTTCATGGTTTGTAAAATATGAGAATTAATGTGATCATTTAGGTAAAGTATTAGATTTCTTTTTATTTATTTATACTTTAATGCACAGTAAAATTTTATGTACATACGCCGGACTTAACACCGGACGGTGTTCTTTACCAGTCAACCATTGGGCGAACCGAGAAATAAGTAGGCGGTGCATTATTGAATAGAGAAAAAAAATAAAGCAATATTTGATAAATTCATATAATATAAACACACACATAATATATTAAATAAATAAATATATACATACAATAAATACATACATAAAATATTACTATATAAAACAGTTAAATAAAACAACTGCAATAGAAGAGCAAATAGTAATCTATGACTCAAACAGAGTAACCAGCAGGAGAAGCTTAAAGGGAGAGTGATTTTTCTAAGAAATAGGTGCGCAATTTGTGTTCAAAAGCCAGCTTGCTTAGGATAGATCTTATGTCGAGCGGGAGTGTGTTCCAGTGTTTAATAGCTTCAACAGTGAAAGGAATAAGAAATGAAGCCGAAGAAGAAGAAGTGAAGGAGAAGAAGAAGAAGTGAAGGAGGAGAAGAAGAAGTGAAGGAGAAGAAGAAGAAGTGAATAAGGAGATTCCTGCACGCACGAAGACAACGATTGGTAATGTCCCCATGAAATTGAAATTTACACTTAAGGTAGTACGTAAGAATTAGGATCGAATAAAATAGAATGTAGAGTACACAATAAGCATGAAGTTCTACGCAGTCGAATAGGGAGCCACTTAAGCTGAGCGCGCTAGGGAGAAATGTAGCCTTACTTACAAAGATTAAAAATAAAACGTATTCTAATGTTGAGAAGAGGATCCAATTTATTTAACAGGTCTTCATTCATGTCTGTGGAGCAGGCATTACCAATTTACCTGAATTCTAGTCTTTTTTTAATTGTTGGTAATGGAATGGTAACTCCGCCTGCGCTAACGGTAAACGCTGGCAGAACACCAATGAGGGATGATAGGTGAGAATGAAAAGACAGGTCAGTTAGGCCATCGCGACGAATACACCTGGAATTTAGCACGATGATTTCTAAGGGGGATCATGTGGAGGTCTACCTAACTAAGTATATTGCTAGCAATGGGACTGGTAGACCGCATTACTAAGCAATTATCAATTATAAGGAAACGTAGTGAGATTTAACTAAGTTTTTTTAAAATAACCAAAGAAGGTGTACCCAACCTTATAGAGATAGGGAATGAGTTTGACAAACGAACTGCTTGCACAGAGAAAGACTTAGAGTAGAAAGAGGAAGAATGAGTAGCAATTTTTGATTACATAATTTTGTTAAAAAAGTTTTCTACAGCGTTTTTTTATGCAGCAAAATCTGCTTATAACTTTAACAAAATATATTACTGCATAACATGTTTTTAGCTTAGACAGCGAAATTGGTACATTTAATTTCAATGGGGCAGTTTACAGAAAACGTTGTTTTGTTATCTAGATATTATGTAACATCAAAGATACAAGTATTATAAATGATAAGTGCTTTATATTAATATAAGATACCAAATAATGGCAGAGAGAATATTCAATGCTTACAGCGCATTTCCATAGTAATAAAAGGTCGTGGCACAGTGCTGCCACACAACTTGTGAAAAAACATAAAAACATTGTTTTTTTTTTTTATAAATTATTGTGGTTGTCAACAGTCGCATTATCACATCATA